AGTCTGTTTTACTGGTTGTTAAGTCTTTGAATAAATTCAATTTTTTTTTCCAAGATAACGTTTTGTTTTTAACGATTTATCTGCAGTAAGAACATATTGTATGATACAACTAGTTCTTAGAAATCCTTTTATTGATTTGAGTAAGAAGTCATATTTACTTTACATAAATTGTCGAATCTATTTCGAAAATTAGTGAAGTTGCAAATGTTGTTTCCAACTTCAACCTTGTTTCTGTCTGGAATCAAAGAGATGCCTTTTTCTAGTGAAGTGATGATATTATTAATATTTTGGTCTAGAAACTCACATGTACCTGAACATGGCGTTTATAGTCGCCGAAACGTCGTATTTTTAATAAATACGACCGAATCCCAAGAAGGTATAACTTGAATTGATATCAACGTTTAGGAATACAAAAATGCAAAAATAAAACTATACTTAAGGCCGCACGCTTTTTTTTAACTACCTGTTTGCAACAGTATTCTAAATCCTTTTCATCTGATTACTTTATGATATGTATAGAGATGACTAAAAAACATCGTCTTTTGTTTTGTTATAAAATGCATTTTATTGTAGATTTTTTCTTCGATCGTAACTTGTTAACAAATATTAGTACAGCTCTGAAATTGTATGTGAATATTCCACTTTTATGGATTAATGAAACAAGTGATTATTTTCATTCTTATCAATTTTTCTCTTCGAAAAATATGTGATTTTCTTGAAAACTGATAAGAACAACAGTTTTATTCTTCCATAAAAGATTAATATTCACACACAATTTCAGAGCTGTACGTACTTATATATGTTAACAAGTTCCGATTGAAGAAAAAATGCATAATAAAATGCACAAAAATGCATTTTTTGACAAAAAAATGTAGACATTGTTTTTTAATCATCACTAGACACACAATGAAATTATCATATGAAAATGATTTAGAATACTTCTGCAAACAAGCAGTTGAAAAAAAATCTAAAAAAAGGGACGTACCACCTTAACAAAATAATCACAACGTAAAAAAGATTCATCTAGTACAAGCAGCTACTCCAAGCTTACTAATGTCATTGTTGTATCATAAAACATACCGATATTTTGCATTTGAAGATGTTTGAATCAATGCTTTGAACCAAATGGTTAAGATGCATCTCGAGGTGTTTATAAAAAAAACGCGCATCATGCTTTCTATTGTTTTATGAACCAATGGCGTATTAGAGACTGAAGTGTCTACATTGTACAGATAAGTCGTGAAATAAAATATCGAATATACTTAAAAACTAAAAAAACAAGCAATAAAAGCTAAGTTAATTTTTTCAATAAGCGTATTTCGCAAAAATAAGTTTTCTGGGAGAATGTCCGATAAGTGTTATGACGGAAAAATCCACTCAAAATGTCTATAGAAAGAAGCTTCTAAAACGATTCTATAAACTATTATTTGTGTTTGTTACAATTAACGCTAAGTACTAACGTTTGACATTGCACATTTGCAAGAATTATATGAATTGTACAATTGTTACAATTGTAATTTTATATTGTATGATTAATGTTTTAGTATAAAAATCGTACACTTTTGTCAAAATCTTTCCTCGGTACACATTTCAGAAAGTGAGTACATCAAAATGCAGAACAAAAACTTCTGAAGAAACAACAAAAGTGTACAACTTCTTTATGCTTAGTTGATAGAAATATTTCGTCTGTACATTAATATCTTTTTTGAGGGTGATGTCAGTTTTCTTTTTATACAAATATTAAAGCCAACGGTTCCCAGTCATAATTTAGTGGTCTTATACAAAAATTTAGGCACCGTTTAACCAGTCCAAATGTTTCGAAAATGATTAGTTACATTAAGGTTAAATGTTGGTTCATTAGCAAATTTAGCGTTCATTGTCACTTTTTGGAAGATTATGCTCCATAATTAAACATATTTTTTTAAGAAAAGACATGCAAATTTCTTCTTAAAAAAAAAATATGCGGTTTACTGTTGATTATAAACACCCAGTATAATATACTTGATGCATAAAGATGCAAATGTAAACAATTTTTTAGAAGTAAAATATCAAAATATTTTTTACATGTGATGTGATTCTAATAAATAATCATTTGATGTTAAAATCACAGCAATTCTTTTTGAGAGAATTAACCACCTCGAACCAACAAATAGAACGAAAATTATTATTGTCAATGAACCGGTTAATTTCACCTTGATGTTTTTCAAAATTTTGTTTCCTTATAGTTAATGCTTAGACCTTTATGACTGCGTTTATTGGCAGATAAGAATAGTAAAATATAGACTCTATTTGTAAAATGTATGTACAGTCTCCTTAACATTAGGATTCTAAAATATAGTGATAGAGATACACAACGATACATTTAATATTAATACAAGAGGTACATTTTTCTGGAATATTTTTACACACTCAAATATCAAAGTACAAGGTGATCTCGATGAATGCATGACAAACGTTATATGGAACCAATTTAAAGGTCTGACGAGCTATCTAGATTCGCATAGATGGAGCACTATGAAGTTATGATTTTTAAATTTGTTAAGGGAGGGGGGGGGGGGGAATCGAGATTAAGGAAAATGTAATGCCTGCACTTCACTATCGGCGATGATCGATGATTGTTTATAATAGGCACGATCATCGTGCAAGCACCTAGTTTGTCGAACGGCAAGCATCACGATGGCCGTGGAGTGTGTTGCTGCTGCAACCATTTATGGTGAATAATTGATCGGCGATCGTGTGGATACCTCAACGCAACCACCCGGCGATTCCCTTTGATGCGTGTCCGAAAAACCGACAATTCACGGGTCGACGGCGATCATAGACGATGATCGGCGAGTAATCGGTTGTAATCGCCAATTGTGAAGAGCAGCCATAACCTTCGAACTGAAAATTCTCTTTTGATAGTAAACTAAATCACGTAATCTTCCATATAAGCTCGTCAGTTCTGGGATAACACATGTTATACCAATAACTCCTGTTTTCGTAAAGCCTTTTCGCCGGCGCTTTTTACTTTGTGAAAACAGCAGCTCTTGGTAAAACGTGTAAGGCTTTTCCTTAACGATCAGCTTTTATGGCTATATGTAGGAGATTACATGATTTAGTTTTAGTAATAAAAGAAAATGGCAGGTTTGGAATTTAAATTTGTTCTACATCTTATATTGAGCAATTTGTAACCAGAATATGAACTGCATTTATAAGGACCTGTAGCTGAGCGAATCTAAGCATTTTTTTCTCAAAAGCTGCCTGTCGAGAAGTTCATCGACTCACTTGAAATCACCCAGTAAAAAGTTAATAAAAAACGTATACAGTTTAAGCGTCTAATTCCAATCCTAAACATATGAACATCAACACGTTAAGTAACACAGGATTAGTAACAAAATGAGGGAAAGTGTTTTCAGTCTTTATTAAACCTGGGATACAAGTTTTAAAACATTTAAATGTTTCGGGCTTGGTAGAAATGTTCAGTAACATCTGGCACTGAATTTCAACCCTGTATTTCGATGTCGTCTTGCCGCCATACATATTTTGTTTTTCTGGCCGTTAATTAAAAACTACACATATTGAATTGACTATTTTCTAAGAATTCGGCCATTCCAGTCGCTCAGCTAGCAGAAGCATAATGACGTCGAAATTTGGTGATAAATCATCAATTGACGTGTTGTTTCAAATATCGACGTCGTATTGACGTCTACTAAGTGTCAAATTGTATACGTGTACTGTAGGACGTTATCCTGATAAGATTTTTTTTGAATCGCATATTTTTATATTTGGTACGATAGAGACCAAGTCAGCGTGCAAAGAAATGATTATCCCATTCCATTTGGATCGACGTTCACTCAAAAATAATCATAGTATTTGAAATGTCAAATTATTAAGGTGTTGCCAAACCTTACCGTATAATGTTTTATTTCTCTCTATATTCCTAGCATTCTGATATATAATGTTTGGTTGTTTTTAAGAATAAGTGTGTGTAGAAAATAATTAAAAAATGACATTTTTATGTTACTTTTACGTCGTTCAGTGATTTCTCGGCATTTCATGATTAGTTTGGAACGTCATTTTTGTTAATGTACTAGTATTACTAGAAAATTGGAAGCTTGGCAACCCTGCCTGAATTTCCCCTGACATTTGTTATGTCAATGTCTTTTTGTAGTCATTAATCAAATTCAAGCGGATAACCAAATGGAAATGGTATTTACCATTTTGGGTTGGTATTTACCAATCCGTTCAAGCGAGTGTAGTTATCAGTTTGGTTATAAGATCCGTGACGTCACGAATCAGCTGTTATATGTCATAGTTATCACCGCAAAATTGTGGTATTTACCCAACTCAAGAGTAGTTTTATATTTCTGGTTATTATTTGAAATGTGACAAGTTAGAATTTTGCTGGTTATTGGATATTGTTATTGTACTTCAGCTTCATTTTTGAGAAAAATGATACAGGCTGACTTCAGTTTTACCATAAAGTGGAGCACCTTATTAGTTATACTCATTACGGTTGTTTGGGACACTTTAAATGTAGTTCCTATGCTTAACAAAGTATCCTGTGTAGCCATATACCACAAGAATATTAAAATATGGCCATATAAACTCACTAGATGATATCCACCTGTACACGGTTTTGCTAATTTCTTTTTTCATCATTTCTGCTGAATCAATAATGTTTTCTTTGACATGCGGAAAAATTTAGAGAATTGAAAGTTATCATAGCTACAAAGCCATGGTTCCATCATTAGAAAAACAAATCTGAAAAAACATTTCTCCCATGAATATTATGAAAGGTTTCTTATTTAAACTTTCCATATACAGTTGTAGACGAAAAAGCACCGATTATTAAGTGATAATAAAAATCAGAGATTATATACGCGCTTTTCTAAAATAAACAACTTGCAACAAAACCGCGGTTAAAACCAATGCGTTCAAGCGATTCGTGTAACTGACGTCATCAACCCGTGTGTCATCTTGAACCATATTATAACCGCGGCACATAACACAGAAATTTTGGTTATTCGCTTGGATTTGATTATTGTCGATCAGTTTAAGCGCACGTTGTGAAGTTACTGTTCAAATTCATCGTGTAAATAAACGTTCTGCACTTTAACTTTACTGCACTGAAATGTAACAATTTTCACGTGCTTGATGTGGAATATTATTGTCATTGTCAACTTTGATTAGTTCTGTAAAAAGGTCACCAGGGTGGCCCAATCCATCAGTAAACAGTCAATTCTATACAGGTGATTTCGGTTGACGGCCAGAAAAACATGGCGAATTATCAGCATGAAATCCAGAAAATAAGTTTCAGATGTGACATAAAATCGCTATTGCAGATAGCAACTATGAGAATAATCCCACCAAACCCATAATCAATAGAAATTCATAGACGGTCATAGATGGAAACAGCTGAATGCCCAAGTAGGAAAATCTAACATTCAAACACATATGTCAGATTGTATTGTATAATTGTACTGTGTTCTTCTCATTATTGCGTTACAGATGTCCGTAGATATATTAGTTAAGGTACTTCTATACGTGATAATGAATCGACGTCATGATTCTTATCATGGATCTAGGTGGATGAAAAAAATTGACCGATTTTTTTATCTTAGGCTAATACACAGAGGTAGGTCAAGCATTAAGTAAACGACGGATTCCGAGGGGGCTGAGTATCTCAGAGATAGTGAAAGATAATATGACAAAAAGATGAAAATATATACAAATGAACGTGCTCTGCGTTTGTAGTTCAAAAAGTTCTCGTACTTGAAGACCTTTATATTTTCAATATCACGTGAAGACTTACCTTAGATGAAGTAAAGCAAACTGCAGATGGCGTACCTGATCCGGAACTTTATTTGCTCTAAAAATATTCGTTCCTTGACCACTCCTTTTTCTCAAATACACCATTGCATACAACTACTAGATAAAATGCTGACATGGACAACAGAAACTTAACATGATACGATGCAGATAACGTAAAATAGTATAGCACCAAAAATCACTATTTTCATTGCTTAACATACTCTACCTGAAGATAACCAACTTCATATGGTATTCCGGCGTCAAAAAAAATATGCAAGATTAAGTGAGATATTCCAGCGTCATCCTTGAAATTTGTCCCAGCTGTTTCTCCTCTCCGGTATAATTAAAAATCCACTTTGAAAACGTTAGTGTCTCGTAGATGGCAGCGTAGTCAACTATATGCTAATATAGTTGGCCATATCGCCATCTATGAGATGCCAACCTTTTCACATGGATCTTCAAATATATCGGAAGGGAGAAACATGGCTGTGACAAATTTTCATTGATCATGGTATCTCATTTCATCTCGGATAATTTTTGGACACAGAAATACAGCCGTACGTGGTTGTTTATCTTCGGATAGAATACGTTAAACAATGTTATTATCCTTTTAGTATTTAAAATATGAGATGGCAATCTTTTGTGGTGTACAATTTTAGATTATTCCGTTTAGATTTTGATGTGATCGTAGGAATTATAGTTTGTTTGTTATATATTTGAGAGCCTGTTTTGCAAGAAAACCATTTAATGTAAACGGAGTATAATTAAATTTTACTACGCGCGAAGTTTTTTGAAAATTATTTTGTAAAACTGATCCTTGCGCAACAGTCAAACAATAAATTCCAAAAACTACTTTTCTACTGTAATAGCTCCATCCAATTACTTTTTACAAAGAAACAAGGCCATAGTAGTTTATTTTAATTTTTGCGTTATGACAAAAGATTGCCACTTGTTATTGCTTGAAACAGGAAATCTACCAGCTACCACAGATATATGTCAAAAAGGAAAACAAAAGCTTTCACTCAAAAAGGTCGAGTGTCTAATAGCTCCTACACTTCTACAGAAACATTAAAAAATTGTTGTTTTCCTCCCTTAGCTTAGTTTTCCTATTTACTTCTATCCCGTTTACTCACATTCGGTTGAATTACAATCCAGTCCACTTTTTTCAAAAACAACATTGCATTGGATATCAGCTATTGGATAAGCTTATGTCAATACCCGTTTCACTCTTCTATCAGATCCTGGAGCTCCTGTTTCAATATTGCAGAAACTCAAATCGATTGTATTCAGTCATACAAAATTTCGTAAGCCCGGGGATGAAGTCTCAACATTTTCACCATATTACGAATCATGAAGAATACCAAATTAAAATTCCACCGTAGCTGCAAATGAGTGTTCGATTGTCTGTCAGTACTTTCAGTCGGACGTCTCGCTACTATCGGTACCATTACATGGGATGCCGGGTTCCATGCGTATGACATGAGAGGTGGGGTCGTACCCGCCAGCTAAGTAGTACACGTCGTTGTCGTCGTAGATGGTAGCTAGACGACGGGGATCATTGCCAAGACGTTCGAGGTACTCGGATAAAGGTAGAACTTCGCATCGATGGGATATGGTTTGTACGTCGTTTTCGTCCTCGTGGGGAGACTCGAACAAAGCTCCCTGGGAAAAAATAAATATTTAGAATAAAAATAATCAATCTATTTCTCTGTTAAGCAGTAGGAGGCACTGTAACAAGTCAAATGTCAGAAAAATTGATGAAACGAAAACGTCCACAGTTTAGGAAATAAAAATATTGTAAAAATAGCACGAGTATAGGATGTAAAAAAAGACCTCTAACAAAATTGCCTTCAGTTTTTGTTTAAAAACAACTGATGTTGGAGAATCCTTAATACATTCATCATGTTTATTGAAGACTTTGCAGCCCATATAACTATACGAAGTGACATATAAAATGCAACACCCTGAACTGTTTATTGAATTTGGTTAAAATCGTGTAAACACGTTTGCTATCATGGAAATTACGCTGAATAAAATGTTGAAGACATACCGGGGCGTACTTTTTTTGCAAATGTTTTTTTTTTGTCATATCGGATCCAAACAATATGAACATGTTTACTTAATATTCAGTGACTTTTCTGTGTTGGTTACATTCGTTTCATTGTTGTTTCATTTTAGGCACTTTATGTGTTGAATCAGTCTTGATCATCCAGAAACCAAATAATGCCAATAAGTCACTTCTGTGGGGACACCTTATTATTTTGCTTGATATCCTTAACAAATAGGAGTGACTTTTATGGATTCTTACCGGATACTGCAGATTCTCTGGGCATCCGACGGTCTCTTCTGGATGGTAAAACCACTTGACTTTGACGACCATCGTGCCATTCAACTCCCACATGGCTTCTATTTTTCCAATGTATGGCCTGTCCGGTCTTCCAGTTGATAAGAATACAGCCGAATCGCCAACCTTCAAGATAACGTATTAGATCACGATATTCCTTTGTATATACTTGGGACAAACAACGAAATGTTTATGTTTCTGGATAGGCCAATTCTCTTCAAATCAACATAACTGTAAGAATACCGAGTTACTGACTAAAATCTCAGGTAATATGCAGGCCGTTCTGAAGCAACTCTGGATGTTTGGTCAACAAGGCGGTTTATTTTCTTACAATAAACAAGGAATCAAACCTGCACAGTATCACAGTAAAAGTTTGAGTATTAAAGTTGAATCAACGCTTACTGCCTCATAAAAAACAAGTCAATCCTGTTGTGTGAACAGCAATAATTTTAATGTTCACACATTATTATCGTGGTGTTGTCCCAAATATATTATCTGTCAATGCCTAAGCCATGCAGTCTAAACCTTACGAACAACATCTTGTAAAATATAAGAAAATAGCAATTCACAACCAATATAGTGATTTTTAAGAATGTCTATTACGAAAATTCAAAAAGATTTTGCAAGGGTATTCGTGATTACCATGAAATATTTTATACTTTCCCCATCCCATAAAAATAAGATCACTTTGTACTATTTGTTCCATTTGATAGAATAGTTTACAGATAATATTCTATATAAATATACCACAATAACATTTTTGAGTTAAATGTTTTCTTGGATTCCGTCGTACATTTCTTCAGACCAAGTCTTCACATCATAAAAAACCCTCCTTCAGCTTGACTATGTTTATATTAATTAATTTTTCAAATTTGTTTGCTGTCCATTTGGTATGTCTCCACGACTAGACCTAAGACCTATACCGCACTGATGAGTTGCTAATGAGCACGAAACGAAGATGGAAAGCAGACGTACAGTAATATTATATTGATATCTTTCTTCTTGGTTAACAGCTACGTAGCCAATATACATATGAGAATTCCTTTTAGTCTACTGCTTAGGATAGACATACAGTACCGAGCAAAAGTAGAGAAACAAACCACATTGCAAATAAAAATCCAGAAAGATTTACTCTAACCTAAAACTGTACACTAAAGTTTTTTATGTATGACTACCTGAAGATAATGAAATCCTTATCTTTGTATACATTCTTTTTTTCTCAATATAATATGGTCGGTTCTATGTTCAACAAGTAAAAGTACAGAAACATTTTGTAAATATTTAGTTTATATTTAGTCGTTAATTAGAATAGGTGTCATTTTTGAGTGTATTTGGTAGAGTGTATTTCAAAAACATGGCCAGAGGAATTATATCGAATTTGCAAATAAAAGAATTGATTATTTTAAAATATCGATCAGGCATTAAACAAGCAACCATAGCCAAACAGCTGAATTTAAGCCGATCGTTAATTTGCAAAACTATTAAACTGTTCCGCCCATCGTCAAAATTGAAGGAATTATGGACCGGTACAAAATACTTGGAGATATTAACTGATACCATGCTACCTTACGCAGAAGAAAACATGCCTCTACGCTGGTGGTTCCAGCACGACAACGCCCCAAGCACACAGCGAAGATAATAAAAACATTTTTCGCAGATCACAATATTAATGTCATTAATTGGCCAGCTCAGAGTCCAGACCTTAACCCCATAGAGAACCTATGGGATTTATTTGATAAAAAAATTCGAACTGAACATCCAGAAAAGTTCAAAAATAGTGCCGAACTATTTGGAACAATCGAAGTCGCCTGGAATTCTATTCCAAAAGAAACAATAGATAGCCTAATTGGTTCTATGAGAAAAAGATGTCTGGCAGTTATCAAAAATAAAGGTTATGCAACCAAGTATTAGCTTCTTTGTATATGACAATTGCTTTCTCTATTTTTGCTCGCTGTATTTTCTAATAATAATTTTAATAGTTTTATTAAAGCAGAAATTTTATTTTCATGTTGGCCTTGAATTACATGTTACATTAAGTTATAATAAAACATACGTTTACTTTAATAGTTTGATAAAATCTTTAAAAAAATAAAATGTTTCTCCACTTTTGCTCGGTACTGTATATGGTTATCTCTCATACTTGTCTGGCCATTAAAACCACATGTATTGAAATAATCTTTTTTACTCTAAACATTCACACACAAAGGTGATATGCAGATTGAAATTTTGACAGGAAAGAAGTTTTCATCAATACATGTGGTTTTATTGACCAGATGGGGAATAATCGACATGTAACCCACAGGACAAGTTTCAGATGCTACAGAGATTTGGTTGTTACCCATGAGCGGCAGAAAATCTAAATAAAGAATATTAGTAAGGTAGAATACTCTCCATAATTCTCCGTAATTCATTCTCTTATATCAATGATATCCGTTTAATTCCATTATCGCACATATCGGGCATTCATGCTGATTTTAAGTTTCATATCCAATAGGCTAATATTTCGTTCCTTAATCTCACTGTGTTCGTAGCTATATTTTAAAGTAACAGTTTATATTTTTTGCTAGAAATTTTGCAGCATTCACGATATATTTACCCGAATAAACACTATTATCTTTGAGCAAGTAAAGCCAATTTACTCGTAACACTTTCTTTAGATTAAACTCGTTTCTATAGCGATAAATGCTTGAATGGAAAAGGGGAAATAGAAAGTCTTTCTTGTGAACTACGAATATCATTTTTCTTTTCAATTTCCGTACGCATGATGAAATACGATTCACAAAGAGAAATAAGCTGTAAACAAGATAAATGCTTGGTAATGATGATATGCTAGAGTTACGTCAAAGTAGCTAAACAAGTTAAAAAACAAATATATTAAAAGTATGCTATTAAGACGTAACCTCAAAAATAAAATATAAAGCAGTCATATAAAAAGCCCACAGAAAGACGTTGAATAGAAACGACAACCTGTTATAGCTAACATTACAAATTTAGCAAATAAGTATTACTAACTTCGTTTGTATATGTTTTTTTTATAAAAGTCAAAAGCTTGGTACGATTTCGTAACGTTGTTTTTGTGTATTCATCGTGATTATGTGAGAAGAAAGTACAAAATTCAAATCAAATATAGTATTTTATTTATGAATCTACACCATGCAGCATCTAATGTGAAGTAAGCCGAGATAAGATGGAAAGGCGTTGCTGAAACACAAATATTCAAAAATAATGGAATTATTACGTTTCGCGACTAAATTAAAAGAATATTATGTTGCCATTTTTCATTACATGCATACTCGAATCTGTGAAATATAGCGATACCGATGTTTTCGAAAAATAAAGAAAATTGATACGTTTATAAGGTCTACCAGGTCTACATTTTACTCGTGCAGATATCATTTAAACTAGGAAATAATAACTTTTTGCGATTCCACTTCTGTGCAAAATTAAAAATGGTAAATATTTTCCTAAATCGTTGAACAGAATATAAGAAATAAACAAGCAAACTGATAAATACTTATAACTCATTTCGATTTTCACATCATGTTTCCGGGAAACAAATTATATAATGGTACCACCAATTATGTTACCCACCTGGTAATTATGAAAATGAGCTAATAGATTTATGGGTTTTGACAAGCATGCTCTGACATTGACTGTATTCTTTTTTCGATATACAAATGTATGTTACCTGCAAATGTGACTAATAAAAATTCACTTTGTTTTCAATCAACAAAGTAGCCTAATTGTCTTATTTTTAGAGAGTAAAATAGCATCTCTAACATTTCAATTGACAACACAAGTAAAATCCGAATTTGTTTTCAGTATTTATTTATTTGTACTAAAAGATTTATATAAGAAAAAATAGAATACAACGAACATGTCGAAAAACCAGTGTATTTTCAGTTACGTCATTTCAAAAATCTGTGGCTTGCTATGCTCAAAAACAATAGCTTACCTTTTCAACACGTCAATAATTTTATTCCAAAAATAAACATTATTCTATATGGCTGGAGACAAAATTGACTGGTTAAATGTTCTGCAACAAGTTTGTCTCTTCGCTACAGAAGTAACATATTATGTAACAAACAAGGAATAATTATATAACGTAGCACAATAAACATAAATGATACTACCAAATACTTTGCATTTTCGAAGAAAGATATTCCATATCCATTGTGATGGAGGGTTGCGATATTTGAGCAGCAACTCGTCGTTTCATCAAATTTGTAAGAGTTGTGCTCAGCATGGTGACCTTCTAGACTTGGGGGAAGTGCGATGTGTGTTTGAAAAACCTTTGTATACTATTTGTTATTAATAAGACATAAGTAAAGGGAAAGGTTTAGAAACTCACGAAAATCGATATCTGTTACCTCGGATTTTTATGGATTCTTTTTTATAAAAAATCCATCAAAATACGTTGAAACCAAGTAGACTTAGATATTATTGTGTAGTTGAAGCATTTTTGTTTAGGCATCATAATTTAAGTGGTAATTTTTGCATTTGAATATATCATGCATAGATATTGGGTCATGGGCAACTTCATCCATTGTACCATGACGGACATTTTTAGGTGTGAGAAATGTTCAATGAATTACAATGAAATTCAAACATACAATCAATAACGACATCTACATTGATTCCCTCTCAAGTAGGATGAATCACTGAAAGTCACACCAACACTAATATTCTGTAGTCCTGAAAGCAATCAGAAACCATTCACTCATACTTCTAATTCCTTTAGTCTTCACTATTCTTCCAGTTTTTTTGTTTCATTTTTCAGGCGTTTTCTTGGATCTTTTGCGTATTTGTCCAAGTTTCACCAACCTTCTTCATGTACAAGTTTTCATACCCCGCCTAACTATACAAACCACACAATTTGTTTCCTTCGTTGTTTAACTATTCTTATACTTTCATGTTTATTTACATCTTTTCCACTTTGTTTTCCTTAAGTTCATCCTTAGGAAATCTACATTCTCTGTTTAAGCTATTTAATGATTTCATTTTTTATATGTAGCACCCATTTCTCAATAGTTTCATATATTTGTACATATTATTTTTGTTTCATTATCACTTCGCGATATCTCATCATCCATTAACAATTTTTCAACAGAGTAGCGTTTAATTGAAGATTGGGCGTTTTGAGTATGTTTGGGAATATCTGATTACAGACAAAAATCCATGGATTCTCATCTGTTTGGGTAGTAACGTAGTTTTATTCATTCTAGACGCGTTTTCACGATTACTTTTCCTAGTTTGGTTTTGCTGCTACCAGCAACATTTTTCTTTCGTCTGAGTTTCTTAAGCATATAAGTAAACAGCAACTTTTCAAGTTTTCATAGGTAACTTTTCACCCAACATTTTCCGATATTTGACCTCAGCTTCTTCAAACGATACGAAAGAACTTGAATTCGCCAACATTATTCTCATATCTTCAAGTGTTGCATTATCCATGAATGAAATCTGACAATATTACTTCTGTAGTAGTATGATGGAAATGAGCTGAAATCTCTATACATAAATTGTATACATACGGTTATTAACTCCTTGCCACGTTGGATAGACTTGTAGAAGGACTTCTTAGATCTGCCCTTGCCCCTTTGCCGTTTGTAGCCCTTTCCAGACCAGCCCCACATTTGCCTCGCTGGCAGGAATGCACTAATCTTACTTCGGGATTCACAAGATTCCTGCCTGTCTCTCTTCTTTGACTTCTGAAACAAATTATGTAGTCCATGTAAAAATTTGGAAAAATTCCGCTAGCAAGAAACTACGAGGAAGAAACTGAATTCAGCTAGATTGATTCTGTTCAAATCAATGAATTCACTGAAAACAAAATTTTGATAAAACATCAAGCTGGATTTAGAAAAAAATCGGCAGACTACAACATTTCAAGTTATGCAGTTATATTTTGAGTTTGACAGATGCACCCTCCCCTATTATGGTCTTATCCCCAGATTCGGGATTCCTGTTAGGCAGGGTATTGTAGGTATAATATTACAAAAGCAAGCGCGTGCTAGCGGAGCGTGCCATTTTCGGCTCTACGACGATCGCTTTATCCAATATTGGATCATACCGAATAGCACTGTCCTTTTTTGGACGCGATAATAAACATTTTCAAATATATTTCGAACTTTAAGAATGTATAAAACTACCGGCCTATGATTCGTACATGCGCGCGCGTTGCTATGGAATTGAATACATTTTGACGTATGTATTTAGAAGTTGGGCCATCATCAGGGCAGCCAACAGTTTAAAGACGTGTATTTATCTTAGAAAAAATTTTACATGACCGTTAATTGGATCCATCCTAAAGAGACCAGAAATCCACAATATCGCATATAGTTTTGTGCTTATAGTAGTCTAGTAATAATATTAAACAGTGTTCGGATTTAAAAATGTTTTACGCGAAATTAAAAAATCACTTTATGAATACCCAAAAACACATAATGATGTAATTTTAATAAAAGGAATGTAAAACTGCAGAAAATTGTTTCAAAAAATGTGTAAAGGAATAATTATACAAAATTGACATTGTAGCATAAATGCTAAATAAATCAACAAACAAACAAACTACTTTCCATGCAATGTAGACCTGTTTTAACGTTTCAAGTTTTTCTGCACCTGTAAGATTTTCATATTTTAGATATACAAAAAAATTATTGTCTATAACAGAAACCTTTGATTGAATAGTAAACTATAGGTAAAAATTACCTTAGTCTTTCCATTAGCTTTGCTTATATCGTCCATGGTAACCTCATCCTCGGAGTTACAAATGCTTGCCTCGCCCTCCACGTCCACAACAGCATCCTCCATATCTTCTTCTTCCCTAATTTCCTCTCCCGTGTCTACGTCCTCCTCCTCTAATTCTTCAACTTCATCATCTCCCTCTGTGGCTGCCACTTGATCGCGGGGTTCATGTCGTGATTCACGCTTTTCATGATGTCGTTTATGCTTTCTATGTTTCTTATGGTGCCGCTTATGCTTGCAATTTTCATCTGTACACGTGCACCTACAAATACACAAATTTATATTACCATAAAAATAACCATTGTAAATGCTAAGAAGCTTGGCTCACAAAGAAGCAGCTATTCGGACCGTCGACAGAGTCATCTCGTTTTTATTGGCTAAATAATCTCATAATATCTCATAGATTGTTTAAGTGCACAGCGCCATAAGAATAAAAAATTGGGAGCAAAATTTCGAACATAACAGCAACAACAAAAGTAATCAGTTATTTTTTTTCTCAGAGTTTTTGTTAGGAATCTGTCAGTAATTCTATAATCAAGTTTTGCTAGCTGACCTATGCTTTTTCTTCTTCTTTTTAGCATCATGTGACAACTTCTTTTCCTTCTTTTTCTTTTTAAGTCTTTTCTTTTCCTTGTATGAATCAACTGGTTTGGTATCATTGTCATTCTTCTCAATGTCTGGTACAGTTGACGAAGGTGAAACTTGTGAAGGGATGATTACTGTTACATGAGGTGGCTGTTTTGGAGACTTTTCTTCTGTAGATACGCTAGTAGAGGTACGTCTTCGGCGTTTGCAGAGGCTCAGCAATGGATTCGGATCGTATTCTAAAAAGAAAAATCAGGAAAAATGCATACAACGATTTACTAATAATCGGCAACTTTTAGTTATATTGTAGGACTCCGGAAACCGAAAGGTCTAAGGAAGTGGGCAGGTCTGGTACACGAACGGCTCGGGTACTGAAGAGGGCGCTGGCGCCGGAGTCTTTGGGCCTAGAACTAGACTTCTCTGCCTCTCGGCGAATACACCACCATTTTCCAGGCGGAAATCTGTATTGCCTTGTATTGCAATGCAGGGAGGCTCTGTATAGTCTAGCAGCGAGGCATCCGATATCGTTATTGTGGGTGCCGGGACATGCTGGGATAAAGGGCAATGATCTGGCGGACGCCCTTGCGAAAATGGATAAGTGAATTGCTATAAAACACTCTCAGAAATGGAGAAGGATTTCCAGACATCTCCGTCAGGCACGGGAGCTCATCGTAGGGCCCAGTGTTGAGGACAGACACTTGCTTATCTTTGGGTAGATTCAACCTCAGGTTGTTGGTGGGAATGTTGTCTGACCATAACACTATATGGCGCCACCTGCATATAATGGGGGTGGCTGAGGATCCCATGTGTGAGCGCTGCGGGGAAAGTCCTCGGTGCATGTTTTGTGTCGCTGTGAGGCTCTGGTAGACTATACTGGGGTCCAACACTTTGGATCTTCAGAATGCAAATGAACTGGGACTCAGGACTATACTCAACTTTGCTAGAAGGGCGGAGTTTGGAGCTTAGGGAATGTACTGACACATCCACGAAATATTGCGGAATTTGAACCTTTCTGGGAACCCAATAATGAGTTTCAATTCCTGACAGACCCATTATTCCACCTCATATTGGAAACAGTCCTCTTTTGCAGATATCTTGGGGAGATTATACTACGAGAATTAAAACAAAAATATTTTTGCTGTCACGCCCCCACATTTGACACGAAAATGTAATAAAAAGAACAAGACAATAGCAATTATTTCGGAATAATCAATGGTACAAAAAGAAAGCAGGTGTAAAAACCTATAAAAGGATTTTTTTATACATACGTACGACTATAGTGATTGCATTTTACGAATGCAAGAGGTCCTGTTTAAATTCCAGAAGTGTGGAACTTGTAGAGATCGATGAAATTTTATTAATCTTGCGTGCCTGGAGGAGTATTTGATCCAATCCTTGGTCAAAAATCCAAATTGCGACTTTTTTGTAATACAACAGAAACTACTTTTCCTGGGCAGGTAGAAAAATTTTTTATGTTTGTGGTGGAAAAAACTATCGTGGATCTTGAATATTCAATATAGTTTTGAACGTGTATTGCTTTTCATTTTGTAAATTTAGAGTATGCAAAGTAACACCTTATTTAATTGTGATTTTTCGTTACTTTTTTCATTTATCTGTTTTCAGCTGGTAGGTATTAAAATATACTAAGCAAGTAGCTATTAAAGGTAACTATAACAGCTCGACATTCCGAACTTCCGTCCCAGCACGAAAACAACGCAATGTTCGTTTGTATTCCCAGATTATTTTTAAAAATGTCATGCAACTTACGTTCCAAGAAATCAGAACTACATTCAGGTATGCCATAATCTTCAAGTTGATTTAGTTCAGAAGTCAGTTCCAGCTCATCGATTTTCGCACCCATATTTTCCTGGTTTTCCCGTAAATTGACAAACTTTAGTAGCGAGTTCAACAACCAGCATATCTATGAACTCTTTATCGTGTATGGTTTCTTTTACAATGTCCTTGGCCATATTCTGGGTAATGTTTTTCAACTCGGTTTTTTGTCTCTCGGTAAATACCATGTTTTTGTATATACTGATTCCGTGGTTCAAATAATACAATCAAATTACAATTGTACAATTGTTAATGCAATTTTAAAAATCACTACTCTGCTGTATGCAAATTACACAACACACTGTGTAAAAATCATCTGGAACAATAACGTTTAAGCGGACTGAAACTATGAAAATACCTGGAACTGCGTAGACACGTCTTCACTCGCTGAAGGTAGACATATTTGTTGGAAAGGCAATAAATCACAGAAGTTTTGTAAGTAACACTAGGTTTCAAAAAGGTTTCTTATAATCGAATTTCGAATTCGATTGTACGACTTTAGTCATCAGTTTCTGAAGATTTGCAAGAAATGTTTATCCGATCTGATTGAGTATACATTACAGACTCACGTTTATTTTGTGTCATTATCTCTAAAAACAAAAAAGTTATAACGATATGCGCAATTGTAGGTAATTCAGCAAAAGGCCCTTAGAGCAGGAGTTCCCAACCAGGGGGCGCGCCTCCCAAGTGTCTCATTAGTACCTACTCTTATTTTATTCAAGTTTTTCGATAAAAAACATTTATTAGTTTATTTATTTAAAGTTTCTTTATTAGAATTGTACCTATATAGTGTGCGTTTTTTTGTATTTATTGAAAAAGTACAGGGGGACATGAAAATATAATTTTTAGTCCGGGGAGCCTCAACAAAAAAAAAGGTCCTTTGAGCATTGCGGTTTTCATCAAAAATCATCAAATAGTGTCCCAAACACTCTGTATACGTATATATGTATATGAATATTAAATCAGTGTAGTATAATAAAGTTTCTGTTTGTTTGCGTATCTATTCATGTATAATAAAAAGATTATATAAAGCAGTACTTGGTTTTATTTCAATTTTCCTGTCCAATAAGTACCACGACAAACTTAAGGAGAAGATAGGCTTTGGACTGACCTCCAAAATAACAAAAACTTACCTATATAAAAGTGTCACTGTTTTTCAGATATTGATTTTTTTCTTAAATTTAAAAGAAACGAACCTTTTCATCTGTGGTCTTTAGCTGCATGTACTTCATTTTTTCTATAAAATACTTCTAGATAGTTGCTTTATCATATGCAAATGCAATGTAGGTAAAGGATCTTAAGGAACCATGATAAAATAAGGACTGTTTTGGGATTTATAACCTTCTGATATTGTTTCCTCAACTTTCATGAAATCATATCAGGAGCAGGTAATAATAATGTAGCTTTGAACTATTTAGCATGTCACTGATCGGTAGCCAGTGCAACTTGAATTTAAATCCAATAATTACATCGTAGTGTGTGTCAGTCACAAAAGCAGCTATCACTTTTTTCTATTCCAAATAGTACGTGTGGTGCCTTTCTGAAATCTGTATTCAATGAGTATTCTTTTTATTCAATATAATTCCAGTTATAGCCCAGTACATTTTTGTTTCACCACAGATGGTCAAAGTTAAGGAAAAAATATCAGAAAGTTATAAATCCCACAATAGTCCTTATTTGATCATGGCTCCTTAATATCGTTCAACTACAATTGCATTTGTTTATGATAAAGCAACTATCTAGAAGTATTTTATAGAAAAAATGAACAAAGTATAACCTTGTTTGTACATGCAGCTAAAGACCACAGATGAAAAGATTCGTTTTTTTAAATTCAAGAAAAAATTCAATATCTCAAAAACGGTGACACTTTTATATAGGTAATTTTTTGTTAGGTCAGCCCAAAGCCTACCTTCTCCTTAAGTTTGTCGTGGTACTTATTGGACACCCTGTTATTGCTATTCGCATTACGGAGTAAACGTTAATAGCTTATTTCATGTATAGTCAACGCCAAACAAAGTGGCGTGCACGTCATCACGATAAAAATTCCCCGACCTAATGCCTAGGTTTCTATCACAAAGAATTGCTCTATTGCAGTTTCATATTAATGTGATATATAAATTGTAAAATGGTCATTACTCTCTTATTATGGTTAATAGTCATATAAACATTGTTATTAAAATATCACATAAGTTGCTTTCTGATAAATTTAGACGCATTATGCGAAATAAAATGTTTTGCAAACGCTCCAATCACTTATCGACATGTAAACGCACTAAACCGATTTCGCAGCGTTGACACATTGTCACCTTGAAACTTATTTAAACTGGGAACTGACATTTGTATTAATTTTGACACTGAATCAATTTGTGGCATTTCAAATCTTTATAAATCCTTTGGCCCCGCATACTGTAAATCAACAACTGTTTGTTTCAAAACAAAATTATTCATTTTACGAGTAGATAAAGGCAATTTTGGTATATAAAGATGCCCAAACAGTTAAATAGTCGGTGTAAGGAACTCGTGGCCTCGTTAATGCACTACTTTGAGCAAGAAAGGGACAACAACGGGCCTTTGTTGCCTTTAAATGCTGTTCAAGAGGTAGGTTACTAATAATTATATGTAATGTATATTAATAATAGTGAAATTTTATTTCATTTTTTGTAGCGTGTTGCTGCTGCTTTAAAAATTAGTTTAAGGACAGTTAGTCGTATTTCCGAGGGTGTGAAAAGTGATGCAAATTTAGAATCGCCCAAGAAAAAGCGGAGTTATATTAAACGTGTAACCAACACAGCGACATTGGATACAAGTGCCATTCGAGAAGTGATCTATAATATGTATCACAAAAGTAAGATCTTATTATAATAACTTATCAGAAATTTGCATTAAATTGTTAACTAAATTATAATGTCATATTACACATGGTTTCAGAAGAACAAGTTACGATACAAACTTTATGGTCTCGATTAAGAGATAGGGCATTATTTGATGGTAGTGCCACGTCTTTAAGGCGGTTGCTTAGAGATCTTGGATTTAAGTGGCTTAAGGACAATCCGCGACGAGGGCTCATGGAACTACCAAGTATAGCTTTGAAAAGGGTGGAATTTCTAAGGCAATACAATCAAGCCAAGGTTGAGGCCTTATACCAGTTTGTCTTCCTCGATGAAACTTGGATATTTCAAAATGGGACCATAGGTCGCTCTTGGCAAAATGGAAACCAAAAAAGCGTGAAAGCTATTAAAACAGATGGTAAAAGGTATGTACTTTTACACAATTTGCACTATAAATGGGTTTATTGAGGGTAGTGAAGCGATATTTTCTTCGAAAACAAAATTGAGCGATTACCATGGAGAGATTAACCAGGACAATTTTTTGAAATGGTTTCAACATCAGTTATAAGAAAAATTGGAGAGTCCATCTATGATTATACTGGATAACGCCCCTTATCACAGCATGATATTGAACAAAGTGCCCAACAATGCATGGACAAAAAAAAATATCCAAGACTGGTTGACAAATCAAAACATACCATTTTTAAACACAATGTTTAAAACAGAGCTATTGAGTATTGTTGCTCGGTACATAATGCTTCTTAATTATATATATTTTGGTCGACAGTTTATATTTCTTTTGTTTATTCCTATTCTTAAAATAACTGCTTTTTTAGAAACAAACCACCTAAAATATACGTGATTGATGAATTGGCGGAACAACATGGGCACAAAGTTCTTCGTCTGCCTCCTTACCATTGTATATTTAACCCTATTGAGTTAATTTGGGGCATAGCAAAAGGTTACTATAACAGACATATTGGTAGAGATGGTAACAGTGAAAAAGACTGTTTGGATATGTGGAACGAGGCTCTACAAACGGTTACCCCAGACATGTGGAAAAATAGTGTTCGACATACTGAGCAAGAAATTTTTAAATGGTATGAAAGAGAACGAATTTTTGATCGACCAGACATCGAACCTTTAATAATCAACTTTGAGAGTGATGAAGATTCAGATTCAGACAGCGCTGAAGAAAGTAACTCCGACTAACTTTATTGTACAGAAAAAGCTTACACCAGTAGCTTACCTAATTTTAGAATGCATTTTTCTGTATGAATTCTGTAAAATAAATACCATGCATAAAATTTGGAGGACCCCATTTGGATTTTTATTCAGTACCTTCAAGCTATCAATTAAATATGGTAGTTTCATAGTGTCATCTGATCAATAATTGTCATACTTAATGATTATGCAAGTACAGATCTATAATTTTATTATACTATTATTTTTGTTGTATGGTAGTTTCATAGTGTCATCTGATCAATAATTGTCATACTTAATGATTATGCAAGTACAGATCTATAATTTTATTATACTATTATTTTTGTTCTCATTTGAGGTTAATATTGCTTATAAACCTAGATATGTAAATAATAAATTTTATTATTTTACAAAAAGTTTGGCAACAATGTAAATTTTTCAACACACCCACCTTGATGACGTGCACGCCACTTTGTTTGGCGTTGACTATAAAAAGGACAGTCTGATTATTTATCACATAATTAGTCATAATAAACAGAAAACGTAGACAAAAACATTTTTTTGCCAAGTACTGGGGTCAAATACTCCTCTGTGCGCTGAGTAAAAGAGACTGCTGCAAATAATCATAATTATTACGTGTGAAGTAGTACCTATGATCGGGTAATCCTTAGGCAGCAGCCGGATATCCTCAATAGCGATCCTTCCGCTGTCACCATCATCAAATTCCACGGAGACGAACCTGCCATAAGGATCCGGAGTACCGTGTTCCTCCGCTACGGTACCAGGGTACAAACACCGATACTGCTGGCTCCAGTACGCGCACACCCTCGTGCCGATCGGTAGAGCGGCGGGAGATCGGGCAGGCACCTCGACAATCTAGAATTGGAATTGATATTGCTTATGAAACGCGATTCAAAAAATAAATACTAACGGTAGTAAGTACTAAAACAATTCGAAAGGTTGGGTACAATTTAAAATCGATACATTTGACCTTGAGGGTCTGGCTGCCTTCTATAGGCTGCATAGTTCTCAGTAGTATATTTAAGGTTTTCAAGTTTTGACCCCCCCTCCCTCAGAAAATATATTACCACTCTTCAAAGATTTCTGGGGGTTGACATAGTCACGTTATACAAAAAGTTTCGTCATACCAATGTCTAATTGCCCCGCGTGAAAGCATGTAGTTCGTATGAATTTTGATATAGCCCTAGGAGCAGCATGGATATTAAAAAATTAAAAATGAGTAATCAGATAAAAGATATTTCATACGCCAAAATGATAACAAATGTCCTTGAAACAACACATATCAACAATCATAAATCCAGTCGGGCTTTTGTCAATCATGTAACTGTATTCAGCAACGCTTAATTGATTGCCGGCTATTTTTGGAACCGTAGAAGCTAATCAAATCAACGAATTACCAGACCGGTCACAAGCTCTCCAGAGCATATATTCAGACTTTTTTATTACAAAAATGTACAGTGTACAGTGTCGCTAATGCAATCGATTGAAATTGTTGGTCAACTGGCATTATCGCATAGCGATCATAATGTAAATATAAATAAATAAGTTTCCTTGAGCGCACCCAAATCGCGATGAAAAGTCCAACTTTAAAGCACTTCATATCGAATACGTCCATTGAAACGACCCCGATAGCATGAAATATTCATTATATATTTTAAGAAAGTGTTTGCTAAATATTTGTAGCGACAAATCTTCAATAATTAAAAATTTTATATATTCATAAAATATTCAGTATGTATATTTGTAGTATATATAATTTATATATTATCGCGATATTTTTCCAAATATTTAGAGAATATATGAGGTAAGATTCTAAATATCAGTTTTATATTTTGATAAAATATCTAATATTTTTCGTAAATATTTAGGAAATATATGAAGCAGCATATTTTCAAGCATTAATCTGATACATAATACCAGTGTATTCTTGGAAATTCTTCATTGGTTATTTTAGCAAAATCTGTAGGAATGCTGCAAAAAAATCAATATTATCAGTGGCGGCTCGTGAGGTAGTGCCACGGTGCCATGGCACTACCTTGTCTTCTTCAAAAAAAATTTTTTTCAATCTTCGATGTTTTACTTTATTTTCTGCTTTTTCATTTTTTTTGGTATAAATTATATGAAGTGACAACACTGACAACGTGACAACACCGCAAGCACCCGACCGACGCGACGCGACGAGACGGAAAGCATGCCTTGACCTTGACGTCATCAACTTGTGAGAAATTTGGGCTAGCCCAAATAAAAAGAGAGAAATTTTACCAGCATCGCATACGAGCGACAGAGATAACGCTAGGCTAGCAATTTTTATATGAGGTGAATAGCGAAAGACAAGTATAATTTGTGCCAGGCACATCATCACATCATCAGTCGTAATTCGTTATCAAATGATATCGGCGGTGTTTTTGTTCGGTCGGTCGTTTCGTTATGATTACGTCTAGTGCTGATTTCGGTCTTTTTTTACCTGAAAAGTGAGAAATAACGTTTTTGTTTTAGTACGTCTAGTGTTAATGAACTGCTCTGTTTTGTGATCATATTTTTTACTGTTTTATTAAAACTAGTGAACATGAATAAAATCGGGATATTAAAAAACTCATTTAGTGGTTTTTCGCTGGATCAAAAACTGCAAATTAAAGAATTAGGACGGCCAATACCCGATTTAAAAATTGAGAAACAAAGTGGTAGCGGACAAAAATCGCGCTGTCGCAAATTTAATAAAGATGTGTACGATAAAAACAGCTGGATATGTGGTTGTGAAGAAACGAATAAACTATTTTGTTTTGTATGTGTTCTATTTGGAGGTGACGAGACTTGGTCAAAAAAAGGTACAGACGATCTTATACATATATGGGATAAAATGAAGACCCACGAAAAATCTAAAGTCCATATGAATAATGTTTTTAGCTTTTCTATTCTTGGTAAATTAAATATAAGGACTCAACTCAATTCGGCTTATCGCAATAATCTAATTAAACATAATAATCAAGTGGATAAGAATCGATATGTATTGAATAAAATTATTAATTGTATAAGGTTTTGTGGAGCATTTGAGTTAGCCTTAAGGGGTCATGATGAAAAGGAAAATTCGGAAAACAGAGGCATATTTAAGGAGCTGGTGAATTTTAGCGCCGAATTAGACAACGAATTGAAAGTCCATATTCAAAGTGCCAAACTTTTTAAGGGTACCTCAAAAACAACTCAAAACGAGCTTCTTGAGTGCATGCTAGATGTTTATCATGAAGAAGTTAACAAGGAGATTGCAAATTCTCCTTTTGTTGCAGTAATTGCCGATGAAACGACGGACGTAGCCTGTGAATTTCAGTTAGTTATTATTTTCAGATATTTGTGTAAAGGACAACCAGTTGAGAGATTTTGGAGATTTTACGTCCCCGACGGACACGATGCCAAATCAATCGCTGCATGCGTTTTAAATGTTGTAAATCCATTACTAGATCAAAATCCAAACAAATTAATAGCTCAAAGCTATGATGGTGCGTTTGTTATAAGTGGTGAATTGAATGGCATTCAAAAAATTATTAAGGAAACTTATCCACTTGCAAATTATGTTCATTGCTATGCACACCAGTTAAATCTAATTATGACAAGCGCATGCTCTGTCAATAAGCAGGCTAGAATATTTTTCCATAATTTATCTGGATTGTGCTCTTTTTTTCGATGTCTCCTCAAAGAACAAAAATTTTGGATAAAATAGTTAATCGCAGATTGCCAAGATCTTCCCAAACACGTTGGAATTTTCAGTCACGAGGTGTTCATACAGTTTATGAAAATAGGAAAGACCTGATTGAAGTTATGGACAATATAGAAAGTACTTCACGCGATTCTTCGTCGATTAATCAAGCCAGTGGGTACAAATTAAAGCTGCAAGATACAAATTTTGTATTTTGGCTAAGTATTTTCCATAAAATAATGCCACATGTTGAAATTGTCTTTAACCAATTACAAAAAGTATGCACCGATTCTGTTAAGGTCAAAAATGATTTAGAGAATTTTGAAGCACCAATTCAACCTATACGAGAACAAATGGATAGCATTATTGACGAGATTGAACGAGTGCAGAGAGAAACTGATGAACCGGCAAGAAAAAAAAAGGCACGTTGAAGAAGGCAGCAAAAAACGGGAAGCGTTAGAAATATGCGATGCAGTATTATCGCAAATAAGAACAAGATTTAACTTTTCTGGGCATTTAGTTGCTTCTAATTTATTTGTGCCTGAAAAGTTTTCTGTTTATAAACATCAGTTTCCTGAAGCACATTTAAATGACACATGCACACAATTTTCATTTTTAGACAAAAACAGGCTTAAAACTGAGTTACAAGTATTATATCAGAGAGAAGAATTGAGTACTACTTCTGGAGCTGTACCACTATCCATTTTATTGAACGAGGAAGGATTAAATTGTACGTTTCAAGAAACTCTTAAGCTCTTAAGTATTTTAATCACTATACCAATGTCAACATCTGAAGCAGAACGCTCTTTTTCAATGCTGAAACGGATTAAAACTTTCCTCAGAAACACAATGAAGGAAGAAAGGCTTAGTGCTTTAGGAATGCTGTCTGCAGAAAAACATTTTGTTAGTGGCATTGAAAATTTTAATAATAAGGTAATCGAAAACTTTGGTACCAAAAAAGAAAGAAGAATGGACTTCATATATAGAAAACTTTGAAGTTATAGGTACTTCTCCACACTTGTTTTATAATTTGGTGCGCGTGTGTAAATAGTTTTATTTTAGATTTTTTTTCACATATAGATTTATTGAACCTCAAGAACTTTGACCACTAACTATCAGGGGTAAGTTATAAGTTATTCTTTACAATTTTGAATCGATTCAAAGTTATGGCTTCCATTCTGGCACTACCTCATTGAATTGGCACGAGCCGCCACTGATTATTATAGAGATCCATGGATATCTTAAAAAGTATCTCAGCCGCGGTTCGTTGAGTTTAAATTGAGCATTTTTTTACTTATTTGTTAATATTTTGTTAATAAGCGGTATTTACCATTAATTAAAAAATAAATATTTACTCCATACTATAAAAAAATATTACATACATAAAAAATATTTAAAGAATATTTTCTAAATAATGGAGTTTTAATATTTTCCATTGATTGAAAACTAAATATTTGATGAATATTATAAAAGAAATATTGTATTTAAAATATATAAAAGATATTAATTAAATATTTATATATATATATATATATATATATATATATATATATATATATATATATATATATATATATAGGTGAAAAAATAAAGTTTCCGGCTTTAGTTGGGTACTTCGACAAGATTTATTAGTCTCTAGCTTTCGATGGACTATGCCATCAACATCAGGAGCTACAATAACATTAGGAAGAAATAGCAACTATTGTGCAAAATGATTTTAAGTTACTTATAATAGTATGTGAGATTGTTGCTAAATGTTATTAAAGGTTAAGTTGAGGGAAACATTTACACACACACACACACACCATAACGAATGTACCACGGATCCAGCTTTCACCAGGTTACTAAATGTTTCCCTCAACTTAACCTTTAATATCTTTAAATCTCACATACTATGGTATGTAATTTAAATTCATTTTGCACAATAGTTACTATTTCTTCCTAATGTTATTGTAGCGCCTGATGATGATGGCATAGTCCGTCGAAAGCTAGAGACTAATAAAGTATAAGGAATCCTAATTGCTTCAAGTACCCAACTAAAGGCAGAAGCTTTATTTTTTCACCTAACTGGTCTAGACGACAATGACCACGTCTCAAGTTATATACATATACCATATATATTTAAATAAGATAAGACTATTATTAAATATTGAATAAATATTTAATGAATATTTCGTGCTATCGGGGATATATCATTTTCGTCTTACAGCAAATCGCTTATTTTTTACTGATTTGATTACAACCTAGCACATGAAATAAGTTTAAATCAAAACTATTCATTAGCAACAAAAATAAAGTAACAAGCAAAACATATCCTGTGAAGAAAATTAGCATGTATGATTGCTGAATGGGTCCATGAAATGAGAAATATTCAAGTTACCTATTGTAATGAGGATATAAAAATGATCTAGGCCCTTACCGCATCCCTAAGTATCTCTTCCCTGGACATGATATGTGGCTTGTTACCCCTCTCCCCAATCAACGTGATTGAGTAGACATCTGGCGGTTCAACGGCATTCAAATGACCAGCATAGAACAGTCCACCCATTGCTGTAAGCACCCTTAGCTTGTCCATTTCAAGGAGCTCTGACGTCAGAGTACACTGATCTGGTTTTTCCTCGTCTTCAATTCGGTTTTTCGGCTAAAAAGAGTATAAAGTGTGATTTCAATTCCCTGTAAATACTTAGCTGAGACGTATGTTGATATCACAACCAAAACTCAAACTTCATCTGTGATATGTTTTTATGCATTTATGGCAACTTTAACTCACAACATACCTCGATAAGTTCTTGGTCTGCCTCAATCTCCTGCTGTGTAATCATCTCCGCCAAACCATTAATCTGGACTTTGTTTTCTACCACCTTCGTATCCTTCACCATATCCTCTTCTATCTCCATATCTTGTTCTATATGATCAACACTATCTTCGTCCTCTTCGACAGTATCCCAATCGTGTTGTTCTTCGTCTGCGTACGTTTTTATCGTTGCTTCAGCTTTGAGCTTCGGCCGAATTTTGGATATCTTCGTGTCACTACTAATTATGTTGTTATTATTCTTGTTTTTCTTCGGTTTCACCGTCACAGTTTCTTCAAGATATCTAGACAAAGATAGGAAATAAAATTAAATACCTTTCTAATGTGGAGCAAGAACAAAGTTGGTACCTAAACCGATCTGTGAGTAGCACCTGGGTTAATATCGTAAAACGAATAGAAAGATGCATCGTTTAAGTTTCTAAATCTGGAATCTAAAAGTTGTCACTTTCATTTTCAGAAACAACTACGTTTGCAACAACAATACTAATGTGCTCTATATCTGCGAGGAAATAAAAAAAATAAAGAATAGTATTCAATGTGACTGATCAATAATTCTAAATATCACACGTTCTTTATAAATACTGCCCAAATGTGTCGCCGTTCGGTCAGCATTCGGGGATTTTCTACTGTAACCCCCTTGTCGTTGCGTTCGTAAGAGATAAACATGCTTATGCACCGTGGGATGGAAACATATAGGAAAATAGTTCGGTTTACCTACACGGCACGTGGCGTCTGGGTTGGATGATGACGCACATCGAATATTTTAGCCGGATTTGATAATAATAATCTATTTTAAAATAATAGTGGATTACACACTGTTAGGTGAAATATACTTCACAGCATCAACGACACAAAAAACAAAATACATCGCAAATCTTCCAGTTATGGCATCAGGTCTCCTTGCCACAGATTTTTTTCAGGTACTTATAGTTTATATGGATATTTTAATTTTCTTTAAAAATTCCAAGATAGCGTTTAGTGTATCTTTGTCTTCACTAGCCAGTAGGGAAGTTATGTTTACGGGCATTTGGTGTTTATTATTGATTAACATATACAATAAGATTTGTCATTTTTTTCTTATACCAGATTTACCGCAAAATCATTCTTACTTTGTCCCGACTTTAAATGAGATAGGATTTTGAAATAAGTTGTATGTTGTTATTACCACTTTTTCTCTTCTAGCAGATGGCGTACTCAAATTTGGATGGATTTTTACAGACCTACATTCAGCGATATATTTTCTTAGTTGGCCATGAATTAGCTGAAGGAAATAAAAAGATATGGTGAAACCTGAACGCAAAATAAATTTTTTATTGCTGAGTAGTAG